GCCCTGAAATACACTTTTGAACTAATTGTGGTAAGTATACTGATTGCTTTGTTCTCTTAATTCAAAACTAGTTGAGAGGGAAAGGAATGAGGCATTTCTTTCTACACACGCGCACACACGCACACAGATAAATACACATACTTACACACAATTCAGTTGCTGTTCAGTTCTGGCCTTCAATTTTTTAAGTGGGCCAGTGGCCCTTGATAGCAGAACGCTTTCTCTTCACCCCACTTTAGCAAATGGAAAAACTTACATTCCCAGAAGAGTCCTGGACACCCCACTGTGTGGCTTATGTGATCAGCACTTGTGATTTTATTAGAAATGCTGTCATTCCTTGATCATAAAAGTAATACTCACACATTGTAGAAAATATAGATAACACTGAAAAGCATATACCTAGAATTTTTAAAAATGTGTTTTTATATATATTTTTAGAGGTTGATGTACTTTTATTTTACACATTTATTTATATGTGGTGCTGAGAATCGAACACGGTGCCTCACACATGCTAGGCAAGCGCTCCACCACTGAGCTGCAACCTCAGCCCCTATACCTAGAATTTCTGTGCAAGGAAATTATTAATTGAAGCTTCATTGCAGGCTTATTATTTTGCATTATCATATATGAAGAGGAGAAGGGATTTGTTAGAACAGCTTAATAAATTTACAGTCTGAAAATGGTATGAAATATGACTTTTTCCCAGAGATAAGTCATTCTCCTCTTTGCTCTCTGTAGGAAAAATACAGTGAGTGACCTTTCTTCAGGTAAGATAGAGTGACAAGTTCTACAGACCTCATATGACTTTGGTCATCTTTGCTGTGCCTTGCTAAGCAGGAGAAAGAACACAGATGCAGGGTTAGAAAGCGGGTAACTTGGGTTATAAAGATGTAGGGGTGAGTCCTGAATGAGTGTTTGGGTAGTGGTTTACACAGAGTGGTTCTCAACCAGAGATGATAGGTGTTTAAAGATTCTCTGGTGGTGTATGCCGATGACTTACCCCCTCTCCACTGCCATTCCACTGGTGTGGGTCAGATTTTCAGGCGTAAATGAATGGCTGTTAAAGAAGTCCACAGGTTAATTCTGATTCTCTCCCTCCCTCCTCCACTGAATGATAAAAAAAATCATGCGCCTAAACCCTGATAAAAGATACAGAGACAGATGTGAAGAAACATAAAAATTAGAAGCAAGAAGCATACAAAAAATAATCCACAGCAGGCACTATTTCTCAGAATGCATCTTTCCCTGAACTGTCCTCTGACATTTCTAAATGTGGCTTCCTGTGCATCATGATCATCTGGGGTGAGACTGAGCAATCTCTTTGCCTGAGGCAATTATTATCCCCAAAGCTTGGTAAATGAAGCTACAGCCCCTCATTGGAATGCTCTGTTCCTTGTGAACACCACACTTGGTGGGCACACTGTTCTGGAGACTGATGACGTCAGAAACCTTGAGCAAACAGGTCATCTGATTGAAAGGCACATCGCTGCAGTTATTTTCAGTAAACTACTCCTTTAAAAATATTTTCAACCTTTTGCATCTTATGTTTTAGATACAACTCTTGTAAGTAGCAAATAGATTTAAAATTTTTATCTTTCAACTGGCTTTATGTGTGTAGGGATATATAGGAACGTGTCATTCTCAGTGTGCATATACAATTTGTTTAGTCGTGCATATACAATTTGTTTAGTCTTCATTATTTGTCTCCCGTTTTTCTCATTTGTTTCTTTGAAAAAATGAGCATCTTACCTTTTCCCATTTGAAAGTAACATATTTTATTTCTCTCCTGTTAGCTCAATATACATATACAGATATTTACCACAGTCTAAAATTGATATATAACTTTAATCTCTTCCCAATAGTTTAAATGCTTTAGGTTAATTTTTTGTAGCGTACTGGGGCTTGAACCCAAGGGTAACTTATGACAGAGCCACTCCCCATCCTTTTTCATTTTTTGAGACCAGGGCCTCACTAAGTTGCTGAGGCTGTCCTCAAACTTGTGATCCTCCTGCCTCAGCCTCATATATATGAACATACATATGTATGTGTATGTATGAATAAATAAATAAATAATATAAATAAATTTCAACAGCTCTGTGTTGGCAGGTCTCCTTTTTGGGACATTGCCTTGCCTTCTGGTTTCCATTGTTGTGGTTGAGAATTCAGTGATCTTCCTTAGAGTGTAATCTCTTTTTCTCTAGCATTTAGGGTCTTTGTGATTCCTGATAAAGTTTCACTATTATGTATCTGGGTATATGGGTTTAATTTATTTGCTTGGGAATCATTGTGCTTGAACTTTCAGATTATTGCTTCTTATTATTCGGGTTAAATCCTGAGCCCTTATTTCTTGAAATACAGCCCCTGCCCCATTTTCTCTTCCTTTTTCAAAAGCTTTCCTGAGATTGATTTTAGGCCTTTTCACTTTCATGTTGCATAACTTCATTTTTTCCATTTGCTTTGTGCTGCATTCTGCACACTTCCTTCTGATCTGTCCCCTAAGTCATCGGTTCCCTCACTGATCATTAATGTCAGTCAGTGTGTTTTATTTCCACAGATTCTTTTTTTAAAAAAAAATTTTGTAGTTGTAGATGAACAGCATGCCTTTTTTTGTTTATTTTTATGTGGTGCTGAGGATCAAACCCAGCGCCTCACACATGCAAGGCAAGCGCTCTGCCGCTGAGTTACAGCCCCAGCCCTCCACAAATTCTTAATAATCACTTTTTCAAATCTTGTCATTTAAAATATTTCCTATTCCTTGTAAATGTTTTCAAGTTTTATTTGAATTTAAAGAATGTTATTTTGTAGCATTTCAATTTCAGTGTCTAAACCCTATGTGAATCTTTTTTCCCCCTATTCTCGCTAATGGTCTTATTTCCTTGTGTGTTTACTTACTTTGGGAGCTGTTCGTATTCCTTAGGAGATTATTTTGGGAATTCTGAGACTTATGATGAAAGTATCCTTTCAAGAGAGGGTTTGCTTTAACTTCTATTAGGCACACAGGGAACCCTGCTTGTTTTGTTCATCTAAGTGCATAGGTTAGGTTTTTGTAATATGCAGGCATATGAACTTGAACTGCAAGGACCAGCTTGTGGTGATAATTTGTTAGATTTTTCTTAACTAGCCAGTGCTAGAGCAATTTTTCTTAGGGTTCCCTAAGGAACTGGAGGTAGACTTACTACTGGTTTAAGGATACCCCTTAAAGGAGTGTCTTTCTGTTTAACATGTCTAGTTAGGCCCTAAAAACTGAAGCTCAGTCCCTAGGGTTCAATTCCCAGGACAAAAAAAAAAATAAAAATACTTTAAAAGTGTTTATCTTAAATCTCATTCATTTAATCAATAGACATTTGAATGTCTACTCTGTGCTGATGCAGGGGACACAGATGATTGTCCCATTTTAGGGACAGTCGTGGATTATAGCAGTGCTATTGTAGAATACACTCAATGCCTATGGCATAAACACGAGGTAAGGCAGTAATGGGGAGGAGACCAGAGCTGGTATTATGAGGGGAGTTATTATTTTTTAAGAATGCAAGAAACGGGAATATATTTATTGGCCAAAGAGGAAAGACTAGAAAGGGAGGGTTTGAAGATGAGTGTTCTTCCATGCTGAGAGATCTGGTAGAACTCTTCCAGCTGTTCAGGAAGACCTGATCAGAATTAAACTTGTAGTCAATTCACTAAAAGCTTGTAAACATAGTAGCTAATCCATGTCAATAAAAAACCACAAAACATTCCCCAATTTGTAATAATATTATAGAATTAAAAAAATCAGAAAAATTGTTTTTAATTAATTATTTTTTCTAAAGAATGACCGACTTTTCTCCGGATTGAACACAAATCAATATAAACCACCTTCAGGTGGGATCTGACCTCTGAGTTCATAGAGAAAAACCAAAGAGTAAGTTTGCACCCATCCTCTTCTTCCTTCTACAACAGAAGATGCACCTCCTCCATTTAAGGGCAGTCCCCTCTCTCCAGTGTTTTGGATCCTAGTTTTCTCCTCCCTCTGGAATCCAAACCATCATAGGTCCCCTTTTGTCTTACTCTCAACAACTCCCTCTTCCCTGGGCCCTTTTCCAAGATAAAAGCAGCATCTAGAGAGGGAGAGGGACACACTATTCTCCTTCTTCCTTTTATACCCGACTCACAGTTGTGTAAGGTAGCTTCTTTCTGACATTTGCCTTCTCTACTACCTAAATTGTCTCTAAGACACCAATTATTTCCAGGTGGCTAAATCCAGTAGCTGTTTTAAATTCTTCAGTCTATTTGATCTCTCAGTAGTCATCAACGCCTGAGCTGAAAAACTCTTCCTGTGGCATTTGTGACTTTACTCCTAATTTTCCTTTCACCTCATTAGCTATTGCTCATCAGTCTCCATTTTCTGCTCATGCTCTGTCACTGAATCTTCAAGAGTTACTCATGGTTTGGTCTTTTTTTTTTTAATTGTAAATTGGCAGGTTTTTTCTGCACCAGAGAGTAAATTATTTTAGACTTTGCAGGACGTATTTTGTTTTGCAGCTACTCAACTCTGTCAGTGTAGCATGAAAGCAGCCAATGACCGAAACAAAATGAATGGCTTCTGGCTATGTTCCAATAAAAACATTTACAAAAATAGACAGTGGACTGGATTTAGCCTGTGGTCTGGCAACTCCTGCTCTACACTCTCCCCAGGAAGTCTCCTTTACTGTGCTTCTAATGAGCACCTATGCAAAGACATACCTCGAGATCTTTCAGGCCCCAATCCTTTATCTCCAATCACCTACTTACTATCTAGACTTAAAATGTTTTCCAGGTATCCCAAACCTTAATAGAGGAATTGTGCTCTTGTCTCTTAAATGTGGTATCCTCCCCCAGTGTGTTCTCCTAGTAAAAGACACCGCTATCCCTACACCTGCGTAAGGCAGAAAACAGCAATCACCCTTGACACTTCCTCCTTTTTCTTGAACTGGGGAAAAGCTAAAAAAGTCTGTAAATGGCATTACTTGAAGCACACAGTCAAATTTAACATTTCACTAATAGAGCTAAACTTTATTTCCATGTTATTACATGTTTATCTTTGATGTTGAATACATATTAGAATTGATTTAACATACAACTTGGGAGAAAATTTGACATTCTCCTCTGAATGGATTAAAAAGGAATGTAAAACTACAAAATACTTGTTTAAGTGTGAGTTCTAAATTATGGTAAACAGAACAATAAATACTTGCTAGTTTTCTCTTTCTAGTTTTCCAAGATGGATTTCATTATAAAAAATTTTCATAACAATTTATTTCAAGAAAGGAAATAAGGGACAATCATAAAAACCATTTTAAGTATAGGGTACAAATAAATTAAAGAGTCTTAACACAGAACTTCTACCTTCTAATTAAAATTATGAAATTGAGGGGGATTTGTTAATATCATTAATGTCAGCTAATGACTTAAGCCCAGGTATGTAATTTGCTTTTGTAAGAAAGAGGCTGACTTAAGGGTGACACCAAGCACAGTTCTATTTGACATTCATGTTAACCATTTGGTACTCAGAATGGGCATGGCCAAATATTAAATGCTCAGTGACAGAAATTCAGAACCAATTGATTTCAAGTGGCTCAGATAGAAGAGAATTAATCATTCCACCTCCTGCTTTATGGTTACGTACAGACAGCTTTTAGCATTGAAAGTATCAAGACAAAGCTCCTCTAGATATTTTGAGCTACTGAAATTCAAAGAACAAAGAATACTGCCTGTAGCATAATTCCAATGTTCAACATGGACAAAATTATGGTGGTTACTGAAGTTGTTAGTGATTATAAATTCAGTTTCTTTTAATTCTCTATAAGCCCCTTAGGACATTTCTGAAGAAAGGTGTGTAGTGTCTCTAATACTATTAGTCTTAAGTACATTTTTAAAAAGTCATTAAAATTATTTTGTATCATGGGATTATAGAATGGAGACTCTTATTAAAGTGAATGATGCTTTTGTTTTCCCTTAGAATCAGCTGCAAAAAGCTATATTCTTTCTAATGTCACTTACAAAAGACACTGAATAAAATATAACTCACCTTTCATTAGATTGTTCTAGTGATAAAACATTTTCTCATCTAACTATTTAAGACAGATCATTTATGGCTTTTCAATTTTTAAAATTTCACACTTAATGTCATGTTGTTCAAGCTTTTCTACATCAGTCTTCTAGTATCAGAGTCTTAAATCAGAAAGGACAAAAGAGAGAAAAACTTATTATCAATTATTTAGCCTCTTTTCCTTGAAAATCAATATTTCTCTTAAAATGCAAGGCACCCTCCTTTTCTTAGGACATGGGCCAGAAAACTTTGTTAGTTTGTGTAAAGGGCCATATTACAAACATTTCAGGCTTTGTGAACCATTTGGTATCTATCACAACTACTCAGCTTCTGTGTTGTAGTGGGAAAGCTCTCCAATGATAGGGAATTCCAAAAAAGGGAGCAGTCTACTAAATTTGGCCTCTGGGACAGAGTTAGCAAATCCCTGCCTTAGAACAAACTTAAATATATGAGAGTCATTTCGAAGAAACTGGTCTCTAGTCAGATGCAATGACTAACTCAGAACTCAGTGGTTAATCACTCTGAAAATTTTCATGTTGACACTTTGAATTTAGCCAACTCTGCATTTACTAACACTCAGGTCATCTGCTTTTCATTGGGGATAATTTAGCTTCATTTAAGAGCTTGTTTGAGTATTAGTTACTGAGGATTTAGTTTAAAATTAATAATGATGTCCATATAATTTAATATCCAATTTAATTTTTTAAAACCTTAATAGACTAAAAAAGTTTAAAATAAGTATACTCACTATCCATTCCAGTGATTCATTTAAGACATACCAACTATAGAATATGAAAAATAAATTCAGAAGTGTAATTACTTTAAAATACACTACTTCCACTTCTGTCAATATTTTACATTTATGTATATATTCTATAGTGGAAGCAGAAATTCTCTCTAAAAACATTATCTCCTTAAAATCTTGAGATGCTTATTAGAGCCACAGGCAATATCTGACATACAAAATTGCAGTACAGGCCTTTCAAATTTGGCATTTCACTGGTACAATACAATGAATAGGTATATATCTGTACAGTGCCTAGACATTCTAGTAAAAGCCATTATTTTCTTTAATGTAGAATGATTAATTCATATTCTACAAGGGGCAGTGAGGTTAGTAATTCTATAGGGTATGTCCTGACATAATTTTCAAATTGTATAATAACACAAACAACTTTGTTAAGGCCATGTTTTATTTGCTGATTAATGGACAAAAGGCAATGTAATTTGTTTTCAAGTATTTTCTTGAAAGTCTGTGCTCATAAAAATCATGAAAAGTTGGAAAGACTGTTAAATCACTGAAACTTTAAATATATCTTACACAATCTTGTTTGTACAAAAATACAAGTTAAATATAAACATAAAGCAATCATGATAATTTTATGCAAATCTGTTTTATGTGATCTTTAGTTATATATAAAAGTCTCGGTTCTGTTATTTGTGAAAAGATCAATATCAGATTGAGTTACTATCTATTGGCAAAGGGCCCTAAAAAGCTTACTTTAGCAGTAATCTTTTACATGGTTATGTGCATTTCCTAATTTGAGATCACCTAAACACTGGAAAAAGAAAAAAAAAAAAAAAAAAAAGAAGAAGAAAAAAAGGGCAGTATGTCCATAAACCAACAAATAATTTGGCTATAATGTATCATAAAACACAAAGAAACCCCACACATCTGTACAATAAACATTATGTATTACACACATACAGGTGTATACATGCATGCACGCATGTATACACACACACACACACACACACACACACGCGTACACGCACACACCCAATCGTAAAACAGCCTAATGAGGTGCGGCTTCCAGTTCAATATTCAGCTGTGCATTTTTTCTTACTTCATCAAATGAATAGCTTTTTGTCACCTTCCCGTTCTTGAATACAGTATGGAGAAGATCCTGCAGAAATTAAGTTTAATGATTTTATTAATGAGACCATATTGTAAAATACTTGAATCATGCTGTGATGAATTTATCTAGATACACAGAGATATTGATGGTGTTCAAATTACAATTTAAAGATTGCTACGATGTTACATTCTTAAGCCAGTTTTCTTAAAAGGAAAACCAAAAAAACCTGGTTCATCAATTTTTTTTTTCTTCTGGCACATGAGTCTGGCTGCCTAGAAGAACCATGACTGTCACTGATAATCATTACTGACAGTGTATAAAGAAAGCCTGATACTACCAAACCCTTCTCTTGTTCCTGCCCAACCAACAGACTCAAAACTAGCAATCCAGAAGTTTAATAAATTGATTAGTCACTGAATTCTGGCCTGAAAACAATAAAAATCAAACCCGAAGCAAAAACGACAAAAATCAGGTGTATATATATATATGTTTTTATCTCATGTGTAGATGACTGAGTTTAAGACTCTTAGGTACTCTCAAGACACTGACAAATGCATTCACTGGACACAGACCCTGGTGAAAATGATGACTAAATTCATTCGGGTCTGATAAAGCCATTCCTGCCTAAGGAGTTATCTCTCTCTAATCTGAATTTTCCCATCTAGCCTGAAGGTACAGGATATTATATAGTAACTTTCAAATTATACTGCTCTAGCTATAGCATTTTCTTTCATAAATTTAAATAGAACCTATCAGGGAATGCTGATTCCTATTCATTAAAAATGCATGGATGATTATAAATAGGTAAAAACTTCAGATGTTCTAGTGCCATCATTCATACACTCATGGTTTTACTTAGGCTAAGTTACAAGTGACTAGTTCATCTGGACAGACTAATTAAGCAAAATCTTGGTAGCTATAAAACCCAAAGAATTGACTATAGGCTATATATAAAGGAATCAAATTCTAAGTTTGATATACAAATCTGTATTTTTTTTCCTTAAAGTTATTTCATAGTTCTGGCTTAAAACCTATAAAAATATAATAAAAGAATCATGTGATAAGCAGCAAATTTGACACAATATAAAGAATCATAGCAGTAGTGCATTTATATTTAGTATCAACTATTCTGAGAATATGAATATTCACAAGTAGTTTCCTTCTAAAAATGAGGTTTTAAAAAATCTAGTGGCTTAAAACCCAGAACATTTATAACTTTGCAGTACACAAATATAAATGTACTTTTGTATGCTAAAAGCCATCAGATCAGATCATGTAGACTACTTTAGCACATTATAAAATTTTCCCATTTGGTGAACGGGAGTCAGAAAACTATCAGAAAACTTGGTTTAAGGAGTCACCATTTATTAGCTATGTAGTCTGAATCAACCTACTGCTTTCACATTTTACCCTACTAAGGTAACACAGCTTGCCTTTTTCAGCTCCTACAGTTGCTATGTGAGTCGAGTCAGACTAAAGAAAATCATCTGAGCTGGATACTATTAAGTTTAAAAAACAAAAATTACTTTAAAAAATATTTTAAAATTTGAATAGCCCCTCCATTATCTATTAAAATTACCAACACTTCACTATAATGCAAATAGCTTTGACAAGTCTAAGAATAGCATCCTTTTAAGTATTATTCAGAAATGATTCACTGTTGACAGTAGGATTAAGACCAAATAAACACAAGCTTGTTAAAGGTTATCAATCACTACCATGATGCTGGCCACTACGTGAAAAAACTCAATTACTTAAATGTCACAGACTGCTGTGAAAACAGTTTTAACAAAAATTAATCTTATTAATTTGGAGAGCCAATCAACTAATGTTAAAAAAAATCAGTACAGATACATACGTGACCATATTCCTCAAGATCTCCTTTTCCTTCCTCAAGTGTAACAAAATTCCCTGCTGGTGTCCTATGTAAAGATAATCGGCCCTTTTTGGACCTTTTGTTGGGATCAGCAACTGGGTCCTTGAAGACATTAATCTGCAGTACACATTAAGAAAACGAAGACTAATCAGAAATGTCTATCAAACTTTCACTTAAGACAGTGCTTGTTAGTGTGTTCTGAAGGATAGTCATCTGTTAGGAAAAAAGGCATGAAAAGAGTCCAAATCTAATATATCTTTTCTTACCACTAGAAAGAATAACAGTTAATATATCTTTGAGAATTCTTAACATGTGACCCTTATATTACAAATCATTTTTAAACTGATGCTAAATATAGCATACACATGCTATTGAAAAATATTCAACCATGTCACCCCCACCCCAAACACACACACACACACATACACACATTTATGTACTCTATTTGTAAGTTCTTTGGAGAATGATCTAGGATATTACCAAGGTAAAGGCTTTCCTACTTTATAACCTTCCCCTTGTTGCTTTTTGCGTTACCTGGTTAATGGCAAAAACAAAAATATTAGAACAGAGTGTTTGTTTTGTGATGAGAAAGACAGGAGGCAAAATATAATAGATGTAAACAGCAATGTCAGTAGAATGAGAAGCAACAGATAAGCCAACCCCAAAAACCCTGATGGAAAGGAGTACACAGGGAACCAACTCAGGTTTTCTTCAGAGTTTTTAGCTTTCCCAACCCATTGCTCCACAGACTCCCCAGCCCTCAAGAAGCTATGGAATACTAGGGAGATGATTGTTCAGTTGTTGGCTACCAAACATGATTATATCAAAACCAGAATCTCCTAAAAGGGTGCTGACAGTGAATACATACTTGCTTATCCTTAATATATTGTGGCCAGATTAGCTGACATTCCCAAATATAGTCAAATTCTTGATCCAAAAGTATATAGTAAAGCAGAGAGAAATGACTGATCTGCATTTTCTCTTAAACAATCTTACGTTATTGTTCCTTCTTTTTCCAAGTCTCTTTTGTTCTCCTTTGTCATGTTATTACCTAATGTTAGTACCTGACAATATATTAAAAGTTCAGGAACATATATCCTTTTGGACTATTACATTCAAAAACTGTTCTCTGCCTAGCTACATTAAAAAGGTGATAACAAAGGAATAAAAGTTGAAGAACATACCCCAAGGCCATTAGTTACAACATAGCTACACTTGAAGGAACAATTCAAGAGATCTCTTGTTAACTTCTGTAGCAAAGCTCCACCAGAACCAAAGGAAACATTTTCAATACTCCACTTTTTTTGTTTCATGCCTTCTACGATCTAGAAGATTAAAAACAAACAAATAAAAACCTAAGCAATTTAGAAGATATTATTTCCAAAGAACAATGTTAATGAATGAAGCATCCTAGAACAGTTTTGAAAATCAACAATTAGGTAAGAATAAGGTCTAGATAGTTATTTTACACATCCTCTTTAAAGACCTGCCTGCCCCCCTCCCCCAAAGGCTGCCTAAGATGAATATGAGCTGATGGGGGGGGGGGGATGGGGATGGATTTCATTTACAGTTTGTGAATCTGTGTTGTTGCTGTCATTGTGGGGGTGAGAAAACTGGCTATAAATATCTTCAGTTAACCAAATGATCATCTCTCACCCACCTCAAGTTATTTGCCTAGATGCCAGCCACAAAAGCCCTGGTACCAAACATTTGTCTCAAATTACTGGACTCTGGGAATGACTCTAATCATCACAACACATTGTGTTACTGAATGTCAATAGCTACTGGTGGTAAAAGAGTACTCTCCTACACAAACAGTTGTGATATCAACAGAATAATTCACCCTGGCTGGAGCTCCAGTGTCATAAACAAAATTATGAACTGATGCTATAGGTATTAAGATACATTATTGGATCATTTTGGGGAGAATGATTATCTATTTAGCTAGAGAGACCTGCATGACATTCAGTTCTGGTGGTTAAAACAGTTCTTTTAAGGGACAAATAAATTTAAAATTGCATTAAAAATTTGTTTCTTGTTAATATCATCTCTTCTGAATAGGGTTTATTTACATAGCATCTGCCCTCTTTAACAAATCCCATCACTTTTATAATAGAAGGCAGCAAGTGAAATTTAGTAACCAAATGAAATTTAGTAACCATTCCTTTAATCTCATGAAAATAGCCAAAGTTGTAGTAAATTGAAGGGTTAGTTCTGTTTTATTTAAAAAGAACTTTCAAAAGTGATCAGAAAGCCAGAAGCAAGTTTAATAGCTTTATGCGGATTATTAAAACAAATCTACCACATTCCCCTGAATTATCAAGTCTGAAATTGACTTTGTTTGTTTTTGACTTTGCAAAGGTAAGACCAAAAATAACCCAAGCACACCTTTAACAAACCCACATTAAGAAATGAAACTTCATTTAAAAATTCCAACCCATCTAAATTCTCCTCTTTTTATGTACTAGAAGAATATAGTTTTCAATTAGAAGAATCAAGATGGAAATATACACAATTTAAAGTGATTCTTTAGGCTGTGCACAAATCCAATCTCGTTGTCTTTATTATTGTATACAAACCCAAAAAAGTACTTAAGCCCCTGAATTCATATTTATTTTTCACTGAGATGGCTATGAACAAAGAGAATTTTAGTATGGGAGAAATGCAAAGAGTAGAGCAGAAAGTGGGAGGAAAAGAAAAGGAAACAGGCAGATAAAGGGTAAAACGGTTTTAGTAAAATACGGAGAAAAAATAGTTTCAGATCTGTCCCCTGATTTTACATGTGTTCCAGAAGCACAATGATGAGGAAATGACAAAAAATAGTATCATCTAATATCACTATATTTCAGGTCAAGTTTCTTCACCAAAAGTTATAAAAATTAAATGATTTGGTGCTAAAGTTAATTTTTCTGTTAATGTGAAATTATAACTGGGGAAAAATTACTATTTGAACAGATTTACACAAACAGGAAACCTGATCAGAAATGAACTGACAAGATACCACTCTTAAGGTACTAATCTTTTGTTGAATATATTTTCTTATTTCATATACAAGATATCTAAAGTCATTATGCCATTAGGATTTAATTATTTTTTTCTCATCATGACCATGCAGCTGAATCATGTGTTACAATGTGCAAGTGCTTTTGCAATATTTTATGTGTATATGTTTGAAATATATTATATATATATTTTTTATATAACTAAAAAATAATTTGTTCATAAGTTTACATAAAATCAATGTTTTCTATTAAGTCTCTGAACCAAAATTGTAAGGCTTGGAAATTACAATGAATATAGAGAAACGAGTTCCAAAAGAAGAATAATAGGATAGCTAATGGGGAACAAAGAAAAAAATGTTGACCTATGCATAAAATAATAAGATATCATGAGCCTGGGAAGGAAAATGTTTAAAATATGTTAACTTCAGAAAAATATTCCTCTTGGCAACTTCAGAATTCAATACTATTTTAATATCATTAGTGAACCACTCCAATGGAGAGATTCAATGACACCAAGTCGAGAATGAATCCCTAACTGAAACCAACAGAGAAGATGAGTATTTAGTATTCTGGCCAATACAAAAGAGATTTTGCCTCTTTTCCTAAATAAGCAGATTCATTTTGGCACACAGTGGAACACAGGGGGCTGGATGACACAAGAGTAAATAGCAAAGTCTCAGAGTGAGGCAGACGGTCAAGAAGAGAAAGGAGTTGTTTCAAATAAAGCAGATTTTTCATTTGTCAAAATTCAGGTATCTAATTCAGCATATGTACAAAGCAAAACTGCTAGATGAATTCCTGCTTCTAAAAACAGGAAACACCTCCAATATGAAGAAATCAAGTATTATTTTTTAGGTTACGCCACAAGCCAAGTTTCTTTATTTTTCTTATATCCCATGAATACTTTTGTATTGACATAAATCTACTCAATTCTAACTGTTCAGTTTAAGGTTTCAACAATGTCAGAGTATCTCAGTATTCTTGTTCATCTAGTTAAAAAATAAGAAAGTTTTTAAGCTGATTCTCTAATTTGTTTAAAAAACAAGGGGGAAAAAGAAATGGGAAAGCCAAAAAGCTTTGATTTTTAGAGGGAAGTTCAAGGTATCCTGATTACAAAACCCAGCTTAAACAGATGACTATCAGAAGGATGAGGGGGAGGCGTAGGCAATGGGAAGAGCCCCTAGCTAACAGATTTTTGAAATGGGTTACAGAACATTGCCCATGTTCCTTCACTGGAAGGGGGAAAAGCATGTGTGAAGGTACTTGCTAGGGTGTCTCCAAGGCAGGTATGATTAATAGTACTTAACTGCCACTGGGACAAGTAACTGTCAGTTCAAATGAAGGAAGGGGACAACAGTAATTAAATGTGTTGGTGGAGATCTCTATATTCAAAGTTTTCCACTGCAGACTTTCTTGTACATCTCCATCTTTTCACATAAAAACTTCTAATGTCTTAACGCTCAATGTCTTAGGAAAGCTGAGGGAGTTCCTACCTTTTTTGAGCAATTTTGGGAGAGGTGGTGGAAGAAACTTCATTTCTGTTATTGTGAGGAAGATCAATTAGACTCCTCACTTTGGAACTCTTAATACACACCTCCACAGAAATACAGTTTGTTAAACATCACAGCTCTAATTTTTCAAATTAATCTTTGGAAAACTTTATAATTCACATTCTGACTCTATTCTATCCACACCAAACTCTTTTAAACAGAAAAATCCTCCAATAACTTATGCTACACATCGTATACCACCCAAGACTGGAAGAAATCAAAATGTCAGATTTATGGTAGTATACAGTCCACATTATGTTCTTAGTGAGAGCCTTAATTTTTATGGAGTACTAGGGTATTAGTTTAAATTATAGCTCCTAAGCTTATTTAATGAAACGAAGAGGCAAAAGTTAAGTAACACAATAGTTGGCTGCATTTAATAATAACAGTGATGATAATCAATCCTTAATTTAGAAGAGATGACAAACCATTTCATAATTTCTGAAAAAAAGCACCTATTAATATCATTTAAGTTTTATATTGTTAAGGAAGGAGCAGCTCCCTTCTATGAAAACCAGACTTTATGAAAACAATCAAAAACTTTTGTTTTATACTACAAGGAATATTCCCGGACTGACAGTGATAAAGTCTTTTGAATCACTATCCAGGGTGGCCAATGAGGACTAGAAGAGTACGTACGCTTTGACTGGTATTTCTATATTTTAAGCTACTGTTACTCCTAAACTTTAGGAAATGCACAGAAAAGACATATACCACCATAAACACTTAAATAAGACTTACAATTATATTTAAATTAACATGTTTATCAAACAAAGTTTAATTATAAGGATTTCCTTATTGGAACACCTACCTCTTGTAAGGTGTTAATATCTACTCCATCCCCTTGGATAACTCTAAGATAAGGTGGCAGCAACTTGTAGCCCTTTGAGTTCTCAGTAACAGGAAACTTCTTACCTAAAATATCCAAAACCTGTATGAAAAAACACATGCAACAAAAATAACTGAAACTGAAAAAAAGTATAAAAACTTTTCAAAGTTAAAATGATTTTACTTTGTTAGACAATCTTGAGAATATAAAAATTAATTCAACTTCTTAAAAAGTTTATAAAGATTTATAAAATTTGATCCCAATTTCTTTTAATCACATTAGAAAGAGGTATGTTATTTCCATCATAAAGTGTTTAAAACAGTCTTTTTCCTTTATATCTTTTCAAATTACAAAGATTCAAGGAAGAAAATCCTTATTATTAGATTAAAACAAATATTTTAAAGAAGCATGTAAAGCATGATTCAACAAACTCATGATTATACATTTGATTCAGCCCTTGTCCTCCATACTATGCTAAGATGTTAGAAAGAATGAATACATACTCCCATTATTTGGCTAGGCAATGCAAGCACTTGGCTCTTTTCTGTGAATTTTTGAAATCATATACCAATGAGAGTAGAGACATATATATTATATTTTATTCTGCTTGTGTACAAGTTTTGTTTGGCTTAATTTTGTTTGATGTAACTCAAATATAAATCCATTTGAATTACAAAGTTCAAAGAAATTGTGATAGATAAAGTTGGAAATGAAGCATATAAATGCATAGTTTCTCTCAGGTTCTCCTTTCCTCTATTAAAGTCAAATCGCACAATATAGGCAAACCATCCTACTCATTCATTAACTATTCAAAGTTTTGTAGCAGTTGAAATACTTAAAAACAGATTAAAAATTTCTTGGAAAACTTGGTCAGGGATAGAAAATACATACAAGGCAGCCCTCCCATCCCTTCTTTTTCTTAAATGAACTGATTTAAATATCCTGATAATGAGAAAATTCCAAATAGATAACTTTGTGTGTGTGTGTGTGTGTGTGTCTCTCTCTCCCAGGGATCGAACTCAGGGGTACTCGATCACTGAGCCACATCCCCAGCCCTATTTTATATTTTATTTAGAAACAGGGTCTCACTGAGTTGCTTAGTGCCTTGCTTTCTGGATTTGAACTCATGATCCTCCTGCCTCAGCCTCCTGAGCTGCTGGGATTAGAGGCACACATCACCTCGCCCAGCTCAATCTGTTCTTATAACTAGCTGTGTACATTTTTACTATGTAATAAAAAGGTCAAGCCCCATTTGGCTTGCTAAAACCAAATATTTCAGGCTAAGACAAGACTTTCAGAGTGGCTTATCATTTAATAGAAAAAGGCCTCCTTGTAGCTAAGTCCCCTCTTCACAAGGGGTAATTTATCATATGTTCATTAGCTGAGGAAGTGGGAAAGTAGGAAAGCTGCAGTCAAAAGACCTATAGTGGATCCTTGCTCCTTATTTTTCATGTTGTGTGACCTTGAGCAAGTCACTTTAACTCTAAGCCTCTGTTTCTTCTTTTATAACAGAGAAAATAATGTTTATTATAGGGCTTTTGATGAGATTAAATGACACATCTTAATGTAAGGCACCTATCTCCTACAATATTTTTCTAGTAGGAGGCATTTATTAATCCTGCTCTTATTAGTGCTTTTTGAAAGCAATCAAATCCTAAACACTGGAAGAAAAAAAAAAAGCAATATCGCTACATTATCAGCAGTATTGCAAAAGAATTACTACTGGAAAAGTAATTTTAAATCATATTTATTCCACATCACCCTGCACATATTTCTCACAACAACTTCAAAGGTAAAACAATGATTTGTGATAAAACAAAGAAACCATACACTTGGTGCCCAAAATACAGGATTACAATGGTAATGCCATTAACTGAATTTGAAGGTACACAGGAAAGAAATGATCAATTCAGCAGTAACTACTTGTTAGTATAAAAGTAACCCATAACTCTTGTATCCTTTCTCTGTTATTATTGTGTGACCTTGGGCAAATCTATTACTCTCTCTGGGCTGTAATTCTTAAAAAAAAAAAAAAAAAAAGGAGACTGATCCGTAAAGCTCTGAAATGATGTGTGTATAAATTAAAAGTAGTGTTGATGCAGTTGGTCTACAGGCATTTTAATGATCAAGTTACATATTAAAATTTACCTTTAATACAGTGTCAAGAGGATTTCCAGAATCAGGTCTGATTATTAGTGGTGCCTCTGTACTTCTTGATACTATTAAATGTCTTAGATCTTCACCCCATATTTTTTCACACGCATTATAAATGTCATAGCTATCGCTGACCACAGATACAGGCACTGATGAAAACTGTGTTACTATATGTTCAAAAGCATCTTTTTCATGGTCTTTCCCCCAAGCTGTTATGGTACTAGAAAACAAAATGAAAATACAGATTTACTTAGCAACACATTATCTACTCCTGAAGCACCATTAACCATATCTTATGTTTACTATCTACATCAACAACACCACAGAGAAGGTGAGGGATTTAATTTATGAATGCATGTCATAAGGTAAATGTAATATTTGGGACAGATTTTCTCTTGGCCAATTTGTTTTCAGCAATTTCAAGTAACCTTATTTGGTTTTAGTAGTTATTAAGTTACTGGCTCTTAAGTCATATTCAACCAAATTAAAAACTTTTTGTTGTTGTTGTTTTTGGGGGGGGGGGGGCTTGTTGGTATTCCTCAATCTATTCTTTAAAATCAATAAGCTAAGAAGTCCTTGCTAAATGTCCTCCATACTTTATGCCAAGATATTACAAAGAATGAATACATACTCCCATTATTTTGCTAGGCAATGCAAGCACTTGGCCCTCTTCCATGAAGTTTTGAAACTACCAATGATAGTAGGAACATTTTTTTTAACTTTTCAAAATCTTATATTTAGAGGCACTTATTCTGTAAGTTTCATACATACAGTCAACTAACTGTTGTATCTTCAAATGGGCAGTTAACAGGCAGTCATTTATTTCGCTTACAGATTATCTATTACTAATTAATACATGCCCAAGGAACAAGAATTTTAATGTTTATTTGGGGCAAAACATAATTAGGATGGGAAATAAAGTATGAGAGTTTCATACTATTGGGCAAGAATGACTAGCATGATTTTTTTTGCAATTTCCTCAGTAATGGTTTTTATTGAATAGATTTAATAACTCATATATAATTATAAACATTTGATGCTTAATATATAATTTTAAGAATTCTTAAACTGAATTTAGTAATGAATTTGAAAATATTATTTCCAGTTTCTTATGTCAATTTTTTTTTCTTTCTTTCTAATTTTCTAGTCTTGGTGACTCTCCCTGTTCTCTCTCTTTTTTTTAATCTGTTCTCTTCTGTGAAATAATACAAAGTGTGAAAGCTTATTCATTATACAGCCCATATAAGTATAAATTTGCCTTAAAACTGTTTAAAGAGCTATACTAATTTAAATTTGCAATTGCCATTTTATATAATTCTTTTTCTAAAGGACTGGAAATTAGCATTTTTTTCACATACTGTTAGTAGTAAGCTGGGAGTAGCTGAGTGCAGGCCCATGTCAGGACTATAAAGACCTAGCTACCCAGAGACTAGTCTTGTCTGAAGTTAATTAAGGGCTCATTTATATAAAAATTATTTAATAGTGAACACTCTCAGAAACTACAGAGGCTGTCAGTTGCTATGATGTTAGCTGTCTACTTCATGCAAGCAACTGAAGGCTAAAGAGAAAAGTAAGATATTCAGAATGCTACTGTCCTCTTTCTGAGAGAATTCAGCTCACTAAACACCAACTCTAATGAATTTTTACAATGTAAGAATAAACCTGCAGTTAGAGGTCATTGCTTATTCAGATACTGTTCTCCAAAGTTATATCAATACAGTCATCTAACTCTGCTACTAATGTTGTGTACCATGTCTAACAAACAACTGACTTTTAGTCCTCATGTTACTTGCTTTCTCCATGGTACGTGAACATCCCAGAAGCACTCTTTCCCCTGACTTCAATAATATCTCTCACATTTAATTTTTTCCCATTTCTATGATTCCTTTTTAATTTCTCCCAGATATTGTGTTCCCCTTCCACTTGACCTGTCAAATGTTAGTACTTTCCAAGGTTCTGACTCGGGCGCTTGTGTTCCTCTGCAATATCTCCCTGTATCAAACTCTCAAAGGGTTAAAAAATAACCTAGTGTTGAGGGTTTCCAAAACTTGTACAGTAGTCCATGCTTTTCTCCTGGCTCCAGATCTACTTTGTTAGGTAGGAGGTTGAGTATCTTCATCTCATCACCCCAGATGTGTCTAATGGCTCCCTCTGCACAAATCCTTCATTATACCTCCTCTTCTAAAGTCAGTACTTCTCTGTGGAGATTGTAAATATTTGCTGTTTGTTTCATGCATTCTACCCATCCTATTACCCCAAATTTCATGCATCAAATTAAAATCAACCCTTTTTCCAAAGTTGACAGGGAAAAGTCATGTGACTGAATTATTTCTATGTCTGGATTCTCATACTCTCTAAGAAAATATATTATAATGATAATAGTAATGCTGAGTTCTCTTAAGGTTATTTTGATGTATTTATTTTTGATGAACTTCTGATGCTAGAGATACAATATCTTAGTTTCTTCCTTTTGTTTGGTTGGATGAAGGTAACAAAGAACAGAGAGATAAATGACTTGCCCAAGGCCACCCACTGTCAGCTGTAAGGTCACGCAAGGTTACCAACTTTCAGTCCAGTGCTCTTTTTACTGTACTATGTTGTTTAAAAGATATTTCTATTTAAGAATAGCTGAACTATTCCTACATATCAAGAAGTCAAATACAGTAAGCATTACAGGACCATAATATAGAACTGGATTTTCACTCTGTGCTCATTACAGTGTCCATTTCACTTTAACACAAATGCCCCAAAGTAGATATTATATTTATTTTCAGATCTATGGTATATTTATGATGTTATTACTATGAAAACAAAATCACCAGCGAAGAGTCTATTATATGATTACTACATTAAAATTTTAAAAGATGTATGCACATGTAAGTTCAAATAAAAATATTCTAACCTGCTGCGTGTGGTGGCATACGCCTGTAATTCCAGCAGCTCTGAAGGCTGAGGCAGGAGGTTCGAGAGTTCAAAGCCAGCCTCAGCAACAGTGAGGCGCTAAGCAACTCAGTGAGACCTGGTCTCTAAATAAAATACAAAATAGAGCTGGGGATGTGGCTCAGTGGTTCGTTCCCCTGAGTTCAATCCCTGGTACCGCCTCCTACCAATACTTTTTAAACCTAAAACTATCTATTAACAACATCCTTAATTTCCAATTTATTAGTCTCTTGAAACATATATGAAAGTGTTCAACAAGCTTCTACTAATATAGCAATGTTCAAAAATGTTGGCTGAATCAACTCTCTACTAAACTTCAACTCATATCACCAAGTTTTAGCAATTTTATCTCTTGAGCACTGCTTATGTTTATCTACTTCTTTTCAGTCATTTAGCCACCTGGTTCTGGATCTCATCTCCTCAAGACTGTTTCCTATAAAGCCTAGCTTCTGGTTTTTCAAGTATATAGGAAATCCTGCTTTCAAAATAATTTCCTAAAGTATGTCTCTGATAACATTGTTTCTTTGCTCAAAAACTTCAGGGACTGTTCTCATTAAAAAAAGGCCTATTCAGTTCCTTAGCCCATTTATTGATTGGGTTGTTTGTGTTTTTTGGTGTTAAGTTTTTTGAGTTCTTTATGTATCCTAGAGATTAATGCTCTATCTGATGTGTGTGTGGCAAAAATTTGCTCCCAAAATATAGATTCTCTTTTCATCTCATTGTTTCTTTCTTTTGCTGAGAAGAAGCTTTTTAATTTGATACCATCCCATTTATTAATTCTTGATTTTATTTCTTGTGCTTTAGGAATCTTGTTAAGGAAGTAGGGGCGTAATCTGATATGATATAGATTTGGGCCTACTTTTTGCTCTATTAGGTGCAGGCTTTCTGGACTAATTCCTAGGTCCTTGATCCATTTTGAGTTGAGTTTTGTGCATGGTGAGAGATAGGGGTTTATTTTCATTTTGTTGTATATGGATTTCCAGTTCTCCCAGCACCATTTGTTGAAAAGCCTATCTGTTCTCTAATGTATGTTTTTGGCACTTTTGTCTAATATAAGATAACTGTATTTATGTGTTTGTCTCTGTATCTTCTATTCTGTACCATTGCTCTACATGTCTATTTTGGTGCCAATACCATGCCTTTTTTGTTACTATAGCTTTGTAGTATAGTTTAAGATCTGGTATTGTGATGTCTCTGGCTTTACTCTTCTTGCTAAGGATTGCTTTGACTATTCTGGGTCTCTTATTTTTCCAAATGAATTTCATGATTGCTTTTTCCATTTCTATAATGAATGATGTTGGGATTTAATTAATAAATGGGAGGGACTCAAACTAAAAAGCTTCTTCTTAGCAAAAGAAACAATCAATGAGGTGAAGAGAGAGCCTACATTTTGGGAGCAAATTTTTGTTACACATAAGTCAGAGCATTAATCCCCAGGATATATAAAGAACTCAAAAAACTTAACACCAGAAAAAAAAAAAAAAAAAAACCCAATCAATAAATGGGCTAAGGAGCTAAATAGACATTTCTCAAAAGAAGATATACATTAGATCAACAAATGTATTAAAAAATGTTCAACATCTCTAGTAATTAGAGAAATGCATCAAAATTACTTTTAAGATTTCATCTCATGCCAGTCAGAATGGCAGTTATCAAGAATACAGACAACAATAAATGTTGGCGAGAAATGTGGGGGAAAAGGCACACTCATACATTGCTGGTGGGACAGAAAATTGGTGCAACCAATCTGGAAAGCAGTATGGAGTTTCCTTAGAAAACTTGGAATGGGACCACCATTTGACCCAGCTACCTTACTCCTTGGTCTATACCCAAAAGACTTAAAATCATACTATAGTAACGCAGCCACATCAATGTTCATAGCAGCACAATTCACAATAGCTAAACTGTGGAAACAATCTAGATGCCCCTCAATAGATGAATGGATAAAGAAACTGTGGTATATACACACAATGGAATAATACTCAACAATAAAAAAGAATAAAATCATGGCATTTGCAGGTAAATGGATGGAGCTAGAGAATATCATGCTAATGAAGTAAGCCAATTCTCCCCCCTCTAAAAAAAGCCAAATATTCTCTCTAATAAGTGGATGCTGATCCATAATAGGGAAGGGGGAGGCATGGGAAAAATGGGGAACTGTGATTGGGCAAAGGGGAGAGGGTGGAGAGGGTACATGGGGGCAGGAAAGATGGTATAAGTTGATGGACATCATTACCCTAGGTACATGTATCACTGCATGTATGGTGTGATGTTATGTCATGTACAACCACTTAAATGAAAAGTTGTGCTGCTACTGTGTACAATAAATCAAAATGCATTTTGCTGTCATATATACCTAATTAAATAAATTAATTGTAAAAAGGCCTAATTAAGGATAAACTAGTATGATGTGCACACAGTTAACATTCAATGTCAAAATGAATTTGAAGGCTCTTATGAACTTTAATCTATTTTCAATCTACTCTATGTTCTCTGAAAAATCTGTTTCAGCCTTTACTTCCTGAACACATCTATGCTCTCCTCTCAAATGACTAGGTTTGACACATAGTAAACAATGTCTCCCTCAAATTTTATAATTCCTTCAAGAATCAAGATCTCACCTCTTGTTAAAAGCCATCTTGACCCTACCAGTGACCCTACCTCTCTTTGCCTTGCACTGCAATAGCACCTTAACTGTACCTCTTTAGTAGAACTATTTAACCAACACAGCAGACTTTTACTAGTGTACTCTATTTATCCTAAGGATACGGTCAGATTTTTTTTTTCTTTTTATCTGTCATAGCACTCAGCAGACTGCTCTGCACATGAAAGCTGACCAATTATGCATTAGATAATAAATAACTATTTAAAAAATAAAATAAAGCTCATTCTAAACTCACTGCTAGTTTTAGCACCCTGTTATTTTCAAGTACTAGTAGAACTTAATAAACATTTCCAAATTATTAAATAATTGTTATAAATATCCCTGAAATACATTTTAAGATCTTCATTTATTTTTAATAAAGTTAATTCTATGATTAGAGCAGCAGTAGCCCAGATTATAATTTCTTCCTGGTTTCACTAGAGATGGTTAGAGAGCAAAAAAGCGTAAAAAGGATGTGAATACTCTTCCTTTCATCAAAAGGGCTTCCTTGCTCATCTACAGTTGAAGTTATTGAATCTGTATGGCAATTGCAAGGGCAAAGATAAGGTAAAAAAGAGTGATCAGGATTCTTGACTTCATTTAGTGAAGAAAATCTGTATACGGAAATATAGCAAATGAAAAATATCCCTTACATAAAACCTATGTGGCAATATAAGTATTGGAAAAAAGATCTTAAATTGTTTTACTAGGGTGGTTAAAAGTTCTGAATCTCCCTGATACTAATCTTTATAGAAAGTATAAACACTGAATTATTATTGCTTATATTCATGAAAGGTTACTATAATGCCATGTTCTTTAATTAAGCAGAATATCATTGAGTTACAAATACCAAACTAAAAAAAATTAGTTTTAGAAAAGTTTAATGGTAGGATGAAAACAAAATTTTACCTGTGTTCTGCAGCTGGAACAGAATAGCCTGGGACAGGATCTTTTGTTCCATAATATTTTTTAATTAGTGCAATTCCTGCTACTGTATCTGTTCCTTTGAAGTTAACTAAATGAGCAGAAGCTCCTATGCCAGCAGTCTGGAAAATCAATGATAAACCAAAAATTCAAAAAGAAAACCCATATTTAACATAGCCCATGTTTAGCATAGCTCCTAAGGGAATTACTGTCTTTAGCTATTTTAAACAGATAATACAAAGATTCTGTTTTTCCTAAACATTTAAGGATTCAACTTTTACCTTCTCAAAAAGACCTATTTATTAGTGCCCCACCTTCCCTTCCCATCATTCTTCCTTCCTCTATCCTGTCTTGTGCTTCTCTATACCATTATTTGACACGTGATATATTTATTATATCTGTATGTCCATCCATCCCTCCATCAAATGTATCAAGGACTAGGACACTTGTTAGAAGACAAAATAGCGCATGTGTCTTGAACAGAGGGGAACACGTAGTGTTGACTGAATCTTTGGAATTTTAAAAGGTGGTCTATACTAATCCTACTAACATCCAGAAAAGTTTATAGTGGTACTCTACCAGACAATCTACATTTTATTAAATAAGATTTATTTCAGTTTCTTACCTCTTGGGAAGAGACTCCTCTGTAGCCAAAATCATGTAACTTGTATTCCAGACCATCTAAGTTACCAGAAGTTTCTAACAAATATTTGGCCAATATTTTCTTCTGCTCTCTAGAATTTGTGGCCACTGTGATTGGATACCAGGACTGCACAAGAATAGTCTGTTGGAACAAAAATTAACCATAAATATTTAGACATAAAAAATACAGGGTTCTTCCTGAGGAAAATCCTAGCTTTCTCTGGAGGAATGTTTTGGACTTCCACACTATCAGGAATATCAATTAAACATTTCAATTAAACAGTAGGATGCCTACCATATGCATTTCAGATATAATACAAAGCTCAGCTCTCAAATCAGAAGCAAAGAAGATAAATGCACCAAGCCCTTAATAGTAGAGAACTTCAAGTTACCAAGTTTTTGTATCCAGAACTCCAAAGAAGCAAATATTTTGAAAGACCATGGTGAAGGACCAATTTTCAATCTGTTATGGACTGATAGTTTTATAAAGTACACTCATACCCAGATGCCAAGCAATGTTAAATTATTGTAAAGTTTCTATACATGCTTATTCTTTATTTCTGCATTTAATGTAGGCCTGCAACAAACAGGTCATGAACTAGTACTGGTTTACAGACTATAACTTGAATAGTATCAGTTTAAAGAAGTTACTCATTTATTCCTCTAGGTGGTACAGTATTTAAGTTTCTCTGGATGTAACATGACTTCTGGTAGTTCATGTACATGAGACACTGAGTTTAGCACTAGAAAATTCTATTTATTATGTTGTGTTTTATATATTCTTAAGCTTTTGTTAAAATTTATTATAAGAAGCTACATAAAACACTTCTGCATATGCTATACAACTGCAAGGTCGCTGACTTATTTTGTAATATAGTGACTATAGGTTCTCAAATTAGGAAGTAGAAGAATTGCTAGGTTCCTACTCTTTGGTAAGAACTGTTCCTCGGTTTCTTCTTGTTTCTTAGCTGTCAAGAAACACCAAACAAAGTCTGATGCTTAATCACAGCAATGATATTACTTACTTTGGGTAGGGAATTACTTCTTTCCCATTCTAGGATAATTTCTATTTTTATCATATAAACCTGATAGCATGTTATTTGAAGAAGCTTCAAATCTATTTTAGAAAGAGCTGCTAAAATGACAATGCCTAAGCTGAACCAAAAAAATACTTAATTTCTTAAAATTTTACAAAATAAACTTTTAAATACCAGCTAAGTGATCCATAAATAAGTAAAAACAACAAGATTTCATCTTAGATCTGTCAATTTAGTCATTAACAAGTAAAATATAGTATCAGGCTTGGTTAAATACAGCACTTGCAGCTCTTCTCCTAAAGAAATAGTCTATTTCCTCGTCCCTAGATTCCATCAATATGCCTTTGACCAAAAGAATGAAGCAAAAGTCATGTTGTGTGATTTCCAAGAACCTGTTAGGAGGTTTTGAAATTTCTACTCTTGCACTTTGAACTATCCTGCTGTGAAGCAGCCTAGGTTATGGAGGCCTAGTAATGTTCAGCGTTCTGTGCTAAGGCCCCACACATGGGAGTGAGGCAATTTAGAATGCCTAGCTAGAATGCCTAGCTAATGCAGGTACGTAAGTCCAAGCAAGACTACCAGAGGACCATCCAGTGAACCACAGAATCACTGCAAACAATATTTTATTATGCCAGTGTGTTCTGGGGTAGTTTGTATCACAACAGAAAGCTGATGCAACTCCTAACTTAGATCAATCACCTCTAATCTCTGACCATTCTGTTCTTGAAATTCCTTTTTTGATTCCACTGCCAGTGCCTGCGATTCTTCTACCTCTAAACTTTGGTCTCTGTGATTTATTCTTCATATTCTTCATATTGCCTCATTCTAAAGCAAGCTTTATTTATGTTGACTCATTCTTAAAAAAAAAAAAAAAAAAAAAAAAAACAACTTTAATGGCACTCTACTTCCTGTAGGGAAGAAAAGCCAATTCTATAGAATTAATGTTTTCTATTATCTTGCAGTGTTTACCATCTAAAAGTTTATCTTCTACTATACTTTTTACCTTTACAATACAGCCCTCAATGGACTGTGTGTTCTAAAAACATTGGTCCATGCCCTCAACTCTTCTTCACACTTATTTAATAAGCTTTTAAAGGTACCCCCCCTCACACACACATTTCATGATTCCTTAGCAAAATTACCTATTTTTCTGGTACTACCTCAGCATTACTTTTTCATATTAGTGGTTAGTTAAGAATGAATTACCTAAAAATGCCATTAATAAGACATATCTTACTCTAATTTGGGTCCAGCAATTTTTTTTTTGGCACATAGCTGGTACTTAATTGATATTCATTTGTTGAATTTAATTCAGTCAACTCTCATTTTTATTCAACTCAGATATCACAATATTATCTAGGAGTATGAGAAAAATATAAAACACAATGTGAAAAAAACTCTAGTTGAGTTATAAAGGTAGAAGATTGACCTTACCCCTCGAAAAATGCCAGGGAAGGAGAGAAATAACTATCAGACACAGTGATCCTTCACATCACCATTTCCTTTCCATAGTCCAACAAAATCAGCTTAAATTATACTCTTAATAAAATCACTCCCCTTTTAAAAAGATCACTGTAGGTGTAAGCAAGGGAAAAAAAGGCAAGTTAGTTTGGGTTAATCCGAGGTCTAATGAAGTAGGCCTTGTTGGAACTTAGCAATGTGCCCACAAATCAAGATAAATTTTTAGCTGAAAATGAAGATTAAGGTAAATGAACCTATAAATTTCCTTTCAGAGTGTTCACTGTAATGTCATTGTGCAGGATAAGAACTTTGCAAGTAAAAAAATGGTGTGGTACAGAACAAAAGCGGCACCTTCACTGTTCAGTTGTCTGCCCACCTCTCAGGCCTATTTCCCCAGCTATAAAATGATGACATTTCATCACTGTTTATCATTTTAAAATCTTTTTTTTTTCTTTTAATACCAGAAAGATATGGTTTTGTTTTTTGGTAGACGAGAGAAGTAAATTTAGCCCAATGTGCTTGCCCCTCAGCCCCTTATATGCCTGAGACACTTTGCAGAACTCCTAGGTATGCTTAAGTTTATTTTGAAATCAGATGAGAGGATCAGCACCAATACTGAAACTAATCAAGCAATTCAGCAATTTTAGTGTATTTTTAAATTCAGTATAGAATTATCAGGTGAATAACAATCAATGAATAGTTATTAATAACCTAGAACATGCATCAGGAAAGGGAAAAGAAAGACTACTTGGTAATATTGTTCAAAATGTTTTAAACCTGGGACATCAAGTTTGTTGGGACTGGTAACAGATTTCAAATACCAAATGGTAAAAGGGAGTTAGAGATTGATAAGAATAGGATGAATTTCCTCTATCCTCACACAAAACAAAACACCTCACAAAGGATGTAAACTGACTACGAAGAAGTCTGTTCTGGAGATAGGTCATTCAGAGTAAACTTAAAAAAAAAGGGGTGCTATCAGAAACTACAAGGAATAAAATTAGACCATAATTCTTGTGTCTTAGATAAACATATCTACTTAGGACTCAAATGATTTAAAATAACATACATTAAAGGTAAACTCAATAAAAATTGATTATAAGCAACTAAAAGCTATGGTCTACATATACTTCTTGGCCAAAATTTAAAAGTCCTATGTTGGATTTATGTTTAATAATTTATTTTATTAAAATGATATTTGTATTTGTTAACAAACTATCACTCTAATATGACTGATATAAACCTTTTTACTTTATGGTTTTCTAACAAAAGTACCCAAAATAATAATAGTTATTAAACATTACTTTTTAATGTATTTTTCACTTTCAGAAGAGGATAAAGGAAACTGTACATGAAGAATGGTAGAATGGTAACTAAATCATTACTTTCATAAGTACTTGCTTAGGGAAGTTCAACTAGACATAGGAACAGTATGAAATCCTCAGTCAGAAAAACTAAAAAGAAAAGAAAATGTTTACACACAGATGATGAATTTTCTTCCTGCCTGGGATCCTTGGGCTTTAAAAGCAGAATGCTAGTATAGATGATATATTTCAGAACTCTTCTACTCTGACAGTTCAGTGGCTTGATGTGCGTGAGAAAGGCCCTGGGTTTGATCCCCAGTCCTACCTCCACAAAAATGAATGAATGAATGAATGAATGAATCCCCAACAACAACAAAAACTCATCAAAAAACCCTGTTCTACTAATAATACTATTCCTTCAAAATCAAAATTTGCCAGTATAAAACTAGTAAGATACGCTCTCTTTTCACAGTTAACTCTTAAGTTTTAACATACAACCTATTAAAACCTTTATTGAATTAATTGTACATTTTACTATTATTGACCTGTAATGAGTTTATGGTCTGTCAAGATTCTAACAGTGTTTTAACTTGGTCAAAAATGTTATTTCAAAACATTTCAAACATATTCTTAGACTTCTTGCTTTTCCAAAGTTTTTACAGTCTTTAAAAGTGAACTTCAAATATATTATTTTACATCATAACCAATTATTTTAATCAATAAAATTATTAGAGTTAGTTTTAACAATGAAGTAAACATCTTTCAGTAAGGTGGTATTTCTGTATTTACTTGCTATAGTATTTCCTCTTATAGATAAAATTCGTATTAAAATGTTACGAAACTAAATAGATTACCATTAGCATAACTGTGACTATGTGAAAACATATGACTACTTAGGTATATATGCAAAGAAAACAAAAAAGCTTTATAATGTAGACTATACCCCATAATGTGCCTGTCTCTTAGTTTTGGAAATTAAACCATATGAATAGTGAATCTTGCTTGTGTTATTAAATGAGAAGCTGAGAAATATCAAATAGTAGACTCTAGTACCTAAACATCAGAGAATATAAAATAATTATTAAAAGCTAAAATAAAATTCCACTAGTCTGAATGAAACAGAATATCCATAAAATGTATTATGTAACTTCGCTAATTTTCTAACTTTGCTCTACTATACCTTTATAATTACAACTAAAAAAATGGAAGCTAATTGAATTTTAAAAATAATAATTCTCCGATTTTATTTACATAAAATCTTAGAACATTAGAATTCAATGGAAAGAACCTTAGAGAGCATTTAACCCAACCGTCATTTTATAGATGAGGAAACTGGGGCCTGGAAGAGTTATTGAACTGTAGAAAATTATATAACTTTATTAGTAGCAAATTCTCAACTAGAATCAGTTCAATAATAGTAACCTTCAATTATTATTAAATAAGAATTTTTAAAAAACAAAAACAATTTACCTCAATCCAATTTGTAAGCCAGTAGCACTCTGGATCAGTGTTTTCCACTGTGAAAAGAACGTTTCCTCTGGGAATGACAGACCCTTCAGGAACAGCCTTTACTTCTATTGGAAGATGCCCATCGTACTTCTGGTAGGAAAGAACAATGCATTCATTCATTCAACAGATGATGCTCAACTGCCCATTTTATTAATGTTCTTTACATTTTACAGAAGCTAAATTCATTGTCATGGAAACAGCAATCACAGATGCTGTTATATTGTTACACCTACCACTAAGAGGTAGATAATTCCAAACTAATCAAAACCAGTTTTCCCCCTACTTGTTCAGAAAACAAACAAAAAGGATGAGTTAATTTTTCTAACATTTGAAAAATATTCTAAGAACACTAATTTTATTCTGTACAGGTCATTTCCATAATATAAAGGCTAAAGACAAAGATAAAATAAAGGATTGCTATGAAGGATAAAAGAAAGTGGAGAGAAGAAAGGAGTAGAGAGGATGAGAGAGAAAGGAAGGAGGCAGATTCCTGCAAAAGAACCTTAAATAAATTCTTTATTCTGATAGTAGACCTGAAATCATGGGATAGCCAATCTCAGCACTTGGTGATCAATACCCACATGTGACTTAAGGAACTTCTTACTACTATAATAATTCCCTTCAAATTAGGCTGAGAGTCCGCTATATGTTGCTAGGTATTTAAATGTACACCTCCCCAGCTTTATGCTCAAGGCTGTGGTTAACTTTTGGCTAGGAAGTCATGTTATTTCAAAAAGCCTAATAATTTATGTGATTTGGAACAAGGTAATTGAATATGTGTGTGAGACAGAATATTCGTAACGAGAATATTCTGCATGATGTAGCATGAAAGTACTCTCCCTTACAAAATCCTGCTTTGGATTCAAAAGCAAATGGAAGACCTAGGGCAAGTCACTCAACAGCTCTAGGTCTCAGACTCTGTAAAATGGGGCTACATAAGATACTTTCTAAAGAATCTATGATTCTCTAAGATTTCCTGAACACATAACACAGCAATGATGCACCACTCTGGAAGTTACAATAATAAGCACAGGACCTAATTGACTGCTGTGTTTTATTCTCACAATATATCTTACAAAGAGAAATGAGGCAAGTGCAGCCCAAAGACTTTATTGACCTTATTTAAGATATGCAGCACAGTGTGCTTCCCTAACTTTTTCATAGGTACATAATTACCTAAGAGTAAAACTCAGTATTTTAATATAGGCATGAAAGTTAAAGTGATTATTGTGTTTGACAGTCTATATAATGTAAGAAAACTTTCATTTTTGAGATGTAAATTAACACAACATTGTGAGATGCTAACAGATTCTATTCCCAGACTATCTATATAATACAGAAACCATCAGAAGACATTCAGCTCTTATGATTCAATTCCCATTTCTTGGCATTTCAGAAGTTTAAGCAATAAATTTAAACACACTAGACATTATTTAAAGTACAATAAAGAATAAAATTCAACTTAGTGGATCTATACTAAAACATTCTAACTTTAGTGAGGGAAATGTCCCAGAATTATTATGTAGTGATAGACTTAGGGCATCTATTTTCAGTCAAAAAACAGAATGAAATTTTAAAATTCCCAAATAGCCATGTATTTTCTTAATTATTAATTTATTTTCACAAATAATTACATGTTCTTAGGTATATTTTCAAGAATGGATCAAACTACCTTTCCAAAAAAAGTTGTTATTTAAATTATAATTCATTCATATAATAAATTACCTAGACCTACTATAGATCATGTGCTAATGATTTACATGGAGGTAGAAAAATCAAAATGTTAGAGGAGTACATTTTAACAAGAATGTCCAATACAGCAATTATATTCAGATTGCAAGCAGAAAAGAACTATAATTACAGTCTAACCTTCTATTCAAATTCCTTCACAAGAAATTTTGAACTAAATACAAAACAAAAACAGATCAAAACACAAAACCACTTTTTTACCTCAAGAATGTAGTTCCAACCCTTTTCATTAAAGACATCATCTTGGAAATGTTCTTTGTATACCTCTTTGGCTTCCTGGATTTTCTCTTTGGTCACTACTTTACCTAAAAGGATACACATGTTCTATTTATATTTCTAAACACATTCTGTGAGTTGCTGAATTTTCATAGCATTAATGTCTTCAGTTATTTCACCCATTCCATGGGTTAAAACAAATAGCAACAGGATAAATGACTCATGTAGAGTCAATAGCAATCAGAAAAGAAACTTGTACTTCTAATCACTCACTCTAAGTATAAAGGTTAATTTATTTTAAAAGCAGATGCACAATAGAAAAAAATTATTACTTATACTATTTTTTTTAAAAAATCACAATAAATTAACTATTATTTTAGATACTCTTTGAGATGATTCAAACATTTTTTATGTTTTCCAGCAGAACATTCTCACTTTATTCATAAAGAATGTGATATCTTCAGGACCAGTAACCTAGTAATTTTTGCCCACCCCTGTATACATTTATTCTTTTGGCTATAATACAAGGCTTATAATAGTAGAGTACCTACTTAGAGGATGATTGTGAGCTAAAAAAGACATAGAACAATTTATAATAATGCTGGTCTAGAGCACGCAATCAATACATTTTGCTTAACCATATATAATATCTTAAAAAGTTTTAAAGCTATAGAGCTCAATTGAGTATATCATTGATCTTTGGAAGCTATAAAGTTAACTAGTAAACTCATTTAATATACCTTGGGCAACCTTGCCACAAAGAAGTACTTCTGATATCTAGCTAGATTTTCAATAGCATAGCACATCTGAACTGTCTGATCTTAAAATAACCAAGAAAATGGAAAAGACTTATCATTTGTATAAAATTAAACTTAACCTATATTCAATTTTAAAATTATTTTTATTATAAAATTTGCAAGATGTATAATGTCTTTGGGAATTGTTTTCTCCCTAGAAATATGATTATAAAATAGATTAGAAATAACTTTTCAAATAATAAAGCACAGAAATTCTTGGGGGATTTCCTGGTTTTAAAATGCATTTGAAAATAAGTCCACAATTATAGGTAGTTTTGAAAAATAAGTCTTGAAGGTAAAACTGAGTAGTATAATTCTAGTTATAATTGCTATCATAATTCAAAATGAGTTTCCAAGTCAATAAATTCTATACTTTGAATTAATGACTGAAGACTATTAGCAGACCAGATTAGCTTTTCAACATTACTTTTCAAATTTTATTCCAAAACTTATCGGTTTCAGAAAACCTTTCTCATACTGAGGACACCAAGCATAAACGCCAAATTCTAAGATATAATGCATTCAAATTAACAGATTTAAAAAAAATATTCTAAACAGACCCTAAATACTTAAAAGTAATTAAGGATTGGGGATATAGCTCAGAAGTAAAGCACTTGCCTAGCTTGTGCATGCCCTGGGTTCAATCCCCAGCACCACAAAACAAAAATAAAATAATTAAATATCAAAATTAGACTATTAAAAATTACTTCAAATATTATAACAATATAGAAAAAACATGAAGTTACATAAAAGCAGTATTTTAAATGTACTAGGAAAAGTAGTACCTTTTAAGTACTTATTAAGAATGTACTGCAACCCATAAAATACTGTTTCCTCGTATTTCACCTTCCTTACTTTGGAGTTTTCAGTCTTCTTTTCACGGCATTCAAAGTAGGAATAAACTTTACTTGTATTGGGTGGGTACTGTTTATAGTGAGTAACCTATATAAAGAAAAACACTTTAGTTAGAAAACACCAGAAAAGGGCTGGGCATGTAGGCTGCATGGTAAATGTTGGCCTAGCATATGTGAGGCCTTGGGTTCAATTCCCAGCTCCACCAAAACAAGATGAAACCATCAGAAGAATAGAACATAAGTCATAACAGAAAAGGCTTGAGGTTATTTCAAAACCTGAGAAACTACTTGCTATTGATCAGCTTCTTTTCCTGGCCATATGGAATTAAAAATAAGTATTTTAATAGTTCAGTATCTTAAAATCAAAACCAAAAGAGACTACCAAATTTTATAAACAACAAGACTGAACTCAAGTAGGTACAAGGCTTCTAAATTGGAAAAGGATTTCAATTGGTCTTGAGGAACAGTCAGCCATTCATTCAGAAAACAGAAGCAGCTTCCTGGGGAGCAATCATACAAAATAATGAACTGAAACTTAGCAATTGGACACATAATGTGTTTGTATTCCTTATCTGAAGCACTTGGGACCAGAACTACTACTCAAATATTTATATATAATTATGAGATCTTTTAGACAGAAACAAAGTCTTAACACAAAATTCATTTGGATTTTATATATACCTCATATAGTGCACACATGTTTTGAGTGCAACCTGTCACATGAGGTCAGGTGTGGCCTTTTATCTTTGTGATATCGTGTTTGAGCTCAAAAGTTTTGGATTTTGCAGCTATTAAGAATACAAACAACAATAAATGTTGGCAAGGATGTGAGGAAAAAGGCACACTCATATATTGCTGGTGGGACTGCAAATTGGTGCAACCAATCTGGAAAGCAGTATGGAGATTTCTTGGAAAATTTGGAATGGAACCATCATTTGACCCAGCTGTCCCACTCCTCGGTTTATACTCAAAGGACTTAAAAACAGCATACTACAGTGACACAGTCACATCAATGTTTATAATATTCACACACACACAATTCACAATAGCTAAATTGTGAAACCAACCTAGATGCCCTTCAATAGATAAATGGATAAAGAAACTGAGGTATATATATGCAATGGAATATTACTCAGCATTAAAAGAAAATAAAATCATGGCATTTGCAGGCAATTAGATGGAGCTGGAGATATCATGCTAAATAAAGCAAGCCACCAAAAACCAAAGGCCAAATGTTTTCTTTCGTAGGTGAATGCTGATCCATAATGGGGGAGGGGGTGTGGGTGCGGGGAGAGCATGGGAAGAATGGAGGTGCTTTAGATAGGGGAGGGGGCCTGTGGATAGGAAAGATGGTGGAATGAGATGGACGTCATTACCCTAAGTACATGTATGAAGACATAAATGGTATGACTCTACTTTGCATACAATCAGAGAAAAGAAAAATTATGCTCTATATGTGTACTGTGAATTGAAATGCATTCACTGTCATGTATAACAAATTATAATAATAAATGAATAAATAAATAAAAATATGAAGAGGTTTCAGCACAAATTTCTAAGAATCTGAAAAATTATATGCTTTTGTTTAAAGAAAATAAAAAGTAAAAGTGTCATAATTTGAGTTTTATTTCAGTTTTCTCCACATTAAAACATGTTACTAATAAAAACAAAATAAGGGGAAGAATAACATGTATTTGCCTGGTTGAAAGAAAGGAATCATAAAGCTTTAAAGTTTATAGTATAAGGTGAATCATGACAATAATGGAATAAATCTTTGTGGACTAAATTTCACGGATGACTACTATAAACAGAAACGATTTTCTTGTTTAGTTCTGGTCTCAAGTTTAGGAAAGCCAACGTTTTCTTTGACTGCACAGCTCAATCTCAGTAAATCTTGGCTCTATCCTAAAGATAGCTTAGCACAAGCATTCCAAAATGAATGCATGTTCATGGTCACTTTCTGAATGGCAATTCTCTGTTCCCTCTCCAATGAAGCATACTTACAGTTTTCCTTCTGTTGCATACAGGCAATCTTGGGGTCAAATCTTTGTAATAATATGTGATCTGAGAGCCTAGGTTCTTCAGGAGACTAAGAACCCTGTTTTGCTCAGCTATAAGAGACATCTGGTATCTGGGCTTCAGCAATACTTAAATGTACATGTTTGGGCTTTTTAAGGTCACAACCTAGGGAATGTTATCACTGTCAGTTTAAGTAGCTAAGTGAGAAAGCTAATACAGGACTCACAGCAATTAAATCAAATTTCAAAATGAGATAAATATATTTATGAGTGATATTTCAGAAATAAATACCTTAAGATCATTACCTCAACTACTTAAAAAACACAGATCAGAAAAACCTCCATCTAAAAATATACCCAAGGTTATGTAAAAATGAAATGTACAGTTTACAATCTAATAACTCCAACTCTTTTTAGTGGAGGTTAAGTAGGGAGACAGAAGAAAAGTCACTCATGATGAAGTCAAATTTGAAAACAAGATCTAGATCACATAGTGCAAGTTTATAAAGTCAGATCCACAGGTAAGATTTCTCAATAGTCTGACCTTCTTTACAGTTCAGATATTTAACAATGCATCTTACAACAGATTTAAAAGCATTACAAGGAGCTGGGGTTGTGGCTCAGTGGTAGAGCACTCACCTCCCATGTGCGAGACCCTGGGTTCAATTCTCAACACCACATACAAAAATAAACAAGTGAAATAAAGATGTTGTGTCCAACTACAACTAAAATATATATATTTTAAAAAGCATTACAAGACTAATTATTTGCCTCTTCTGAGAAAGGAAGACAATGGAAATGTCTTTGAATACTCCATCACGATCTAAAATTATACTAAAAATTTTCCATCAGACAAATACAGTTCTGGACAATAATTACTTATGTTTATAATTTTGAAGTCTTAAATTAGGCTTACTCACCTTTACTTAAGTATGAAAACAAATTATCATTTAAAATACAAAATTAGTTTCTAGTCTGCTTAGTCATAAATAAAGTATGTTCTAAAATCTTAGAGAATTTATGAAAACTGTTTCAGAGAATAGAGGTAAAGAATTTAAACTGTTAGGCAAAGTCACAAACGAAAGTATTATTTACTATTAACTGTCTACTAACACCTTAAAAGTCTGTAGACTACAGAGCATGTTTAGATATATTTATATGGTATATATACATTGTTTAAAGTGAAAAAAATTTTAAGCAGAGTTTCTTAGTAAATATTCAAAGAATTCAATCAGTAGATGGCAACTTTTTGTTTTGCTAATTTACTGTCCTCTTCATTTTATTTTCTGCTAAACTGGACACTCTGAATATCATCAGAAAATGGGATGATATGACATAAATCAAGAAATAGTTATAAACAGTTAATACGTTCATAAATATATACCCAGGACCTACTATGTATCAGGCATTACCATGTTTCAGATGCAGAGTACTGGCAAGTAAAATAGACATGGTACTAAGTCTCACAGGGTTAATGAAGACTTAACTGGGGGGGAAGAGAAAAATAATATATAAACAATAATTTCAGATCAAGATGGATGCTATGAAAAAGAAGAGAGAATGATGAGCTAGGGGGACTTGGTTAGTCTTCTCTGAGTTGACATGAGCAAGGCCTAAGTGACAGACAGAAAATGCTTTAGTATGAGGGACAGAACAGAAGGTAGGCCAGTGTGGTGTGTTCTTAGAGTATGGTAAGATCAGAGGTAGGCAGACATAGAGATAAGATCATTGGCTAAATAGGGTACCACAAGGAGTTTTGATTTTAAATTAAGCTGGGGTGAATATGATCTAGTTCACATTTTAATTTTTTGATGTTGGGGATTGAACACAGGGCCTTGTCCATGCTAAGTACATGTTCTACTACTGAATTGTATCACCAGCCTGTGATTCAAATTTTAAAAGAATCAATCAGCTTGGTGGTGCATGGAGAATGGATTACAGGATGCTCAGAGTGAAAACAGGAGTTAAGAGACTACTGCCCAATGCTAGACTAGATGAAAGAAGTGAACCAGTATTTTTGGAGGGAAAAAAGAAAACTAGGCTGAGGGGCTGGATATGGAAAATAATGGTAGGGAAGAATTAAAGATGCTTTTTAGTTTTTTTGGTTAAGCAAGTAGGTTAATAATGGCACCAATCTTTGAGACAGGGAAGACAAGACTGGGGGAATGGGTGGAGAAATTGAGAGCTCAGTTTTATATATTAAGTAATACAAACAAGAAGTTTCACAGTATTCAGAAATAAAGTGAACACAAAAGGAAGCTCCTAAATCATGTTAACTTTTTAGTACTACTTTAACTTCTATCACTAGAGAAGGTTCTACAATAAATATACAATTCTTCACTATATATAGACAAAGGAAAAATATCTGATAATGTCCTCAGCCAACCTTACTATTAACAAAAGTTTCCTAAACTGGCATGGTCCTCCTGCAGGTAATAGAATGCCACTTATACAATAATACATGTATGGTAAATACAGACACACAGGAAAATGTAGCTTTTCAACAGAACTTAATTTCAGTTATGTGACTGATTTACCTAATGAAAGTTAAGCTTCTAAAAATTATTAAACTAGATAATAATAACTGATCTTATTTCAATGCCTAGAACAAGGTTCTAACCCTATATAAAAAGCGGCAGCTTTTTCCACTATGAAGTGCTGGCCAATCAACTAAAAAAAAAAAAAAAAAAAAAAAAAATATATATATATATATATAACCTTGAGAATATATGTATATATATATATATACACATATTCTCAAGGTTATATATCCTTGTTCCAAGTATGACAGTTGAAAAAAATATGAGGCATATTTAAGATGCATACAATCTTTCTGAGAGGTGTAATTTTATCTAGATGTTTCTCTAGATGTCTCATGATGTTGATGTCTTTCTATAAGATGTTATTCCAAGATCTTTCCTCCCACAATAGGATCACATGGCCAAAGGCAATGACTACTAACCTAATTTTTCATACTTTTATTTTTGAGAGGACATAACAAAGAACAATCATTAAGATAAACAAACAAATAAATATACACATAAAAGCAGAAGAGGTAACATAGCCAAGGTCACAGAGCAAGTTATGTTGTTATACAACACCTAAAAGTATCAGAAAAGGATCTACTAGCCCCACACTGGTCAGGACTTTGTGCTTCTCCAAACTGAATGTGCTTGCCAGGCACAGTGGCTCATGTCTGTAATCCCACAGGCTCAGGAGGCTGAGGCAGGAAGATCACAAGTGTGAGGTCAACCTCAGCAACTTAGCAAGACCCTGTCTCAACAGACAAGATCTTCCATTAATATGCTCCAAAAAAATAAATAAAAAGGGCTGTGAATATAACCTAGTAGTAAAGTGCCTCTGAGTTCAATCTCCAAAACCAAAACAAACAAATTAAAAAAACTAATATGCCCTAAACAGCAAAAGTCATAAACAATTCTTCTTTTCAGTATTATTTAGGATTACTCAAGTCCTGGAAATATGTCTGTTGCCCCTGAAAATAATTCATTGCTCTTCAGCTATGTAGCACTAACCACTTCTAAGTATGGCTTAAGAATTTGGGGGTTAAATTATTTGGGGGAAAGAGAGAAATTCCAAAGATGTCTATGTATGATCATTATATTGCTTCTCTTAAACCTCCTGGTGCAAAATTTCTAATCACTTTTACCTCCTTTGCCACTCCTTCAAATCAAATTTCATCAGTTCATAAAGGAGGGCATCAGCTGCTTGTACTTTCTTAAGTTATTATGAGATTATTACTGACCAATTTATCTACTATAAAGTAAATCCTTATTTATATGATTTTTGTTGCCCAAGTTTTCCTTATAACTTATAAAACTTACTGGGAAATTTGAAATATATGCAAAATCTCACAAATATCTATATGGATCCACAACAAGAATGCACACAGGTAGTCTCTAGAGTACAAATTGAAGCAGCTGCCCCCTCCACATGAGGCTCAGGCTGCCAAGTGCGTTATTATGCCAGCACTTTAGTATCAGTTCAGAAGCAGTTAGACAGAGGCAACTATGAAAAATAGGAACATCTCAGAGGATGACACTAGGAAGAACTAACTTGCCTATATGGTAATTCTCATCTCTCTCCAAATCTTTTCCTTAAAAAAGCTCAAACTTCTAAGATTTGTTAATTCAGTCATTAGAGGAAATAAAATCTTCCTTCCTGAATTCTTATTTATTCATCACTGTAAATAAAACAGCTCTTGAAAAATTCTCTGAATTTCCAATATTTAATAAATGAACAGTTGAAAATGTGCTCAGTTCTAGATTAACAGCTTATAAATGATCTTCTGAGAAGCAAGCTACATTGGACAGCACATTTTATAACCAATGTGAGATGTGATTTAAAGTGTACAACGCCTAAGGATTAGTTTTGTGTACTATCTGTCTTTTCCAACTACAGTACAATTGACAAGCTCTTCCATTAATTTGCTACAGGAAAAATGTTCAGAAATGTTAAAACTATTTTCTGCTGTGGTTTGTTACTAGCAATTATATACACTAGGAGTGGGATTAAACCAGAAAAGCAACTAGAAAAAAAAAAATCAACATATTTCACTGTCCTCATCAACACTTCTAGCTACTTAGTTCTCTACTTTAATTGGCCAAAAGTTTTTAAGAAACTGATATGGACACATAACATTCTTACACAATTTCCAAATAAAAGTTTTATTACTTTTAACCTCATTATTATTATTTATCTCTCTTCTTTACCTAAGGTAAAAAGGTTAAATAAAACAGAAAACAGGCTACAGGGACCACTAAAAACCTAATTTTAAGGAAAATGAAACTTACAGACTAATTGTTACTGTGGAACACACAATCTGTTTTAGTATACTGCTGTAACCCCTTGGTATAAAACAAATCAATCTGGATCCTCTTGAGGGATTTCTTGGGGGGGAAAAAAGTGAAAGCTACTACTAAGGTGAAAAACTTCTGGAAAGACTTCATATAAGACAGGGAATAAGATATACCAGCTTGACTTGAAAATGGACAGGAATGAAATTTATTAAATGAGTGTAAATTCTAATAGTGTAGATAAGTATGACTTGGCAGGAGATTAGAAAGCTTCAAGGTAATTCACTATTCTAATTAAACATATTCCAGAAAATTGATGTTAAACCAGTTTTACATTCTTCATATATAATGCCTAGAAGAACAGCACTCCCTTTTGTTTTTAGGCTAGACTTAACTTCCATGAACATTTCTCATTTACAATTCAATCACTGCATAAGCCAAAACACAACAAAAAATCTGAAAATTATTTTAAAGATTTAGTTAAGGCAATATTCTACAAAACCATTAATGAGACATTTCTAAAATCACTACTCAGGATATCATAAACATTACATTTGAACTGAGAGAACAGAAGCAGGTTTTAGGGTCAAGTGAAGGACCATACTTGATATTATAATGGTCACGCAATAGTGTAGATTTCCACTTTAAAATTTCATTTGAAAGATCACAGTGTTGAATCTTGGCTCTGTTTAAATGAAAACATACCTAAGCACTATTAACATAATCATAAAGCAACTGCAAAGAAATGGACAAAACAGAACTTAAGCAAAATGGAATTCTCTAAAAAATACTCTTCCAATATTGGAGTATTAAAAACAAAAAGGAAACAAAAACATGAAAGTATAATGCTTCATCACTATATTCCAACCCCCCATATTAAAAGGTAAATACTAAAATTTAAAACTAAAATTTATTTTGTGCAAGTGGGTTTTCTGGTCTGACATCTCACCTTTCAGGTGTTTTTGCTAACAAAAGTTGGCCAAAGTATAGTCCAGTTTATTTGACATAATTTGAAAACTAAGAGAAAGAGTATTTGCTAGATTTTCCCCTAGTTTCTCCTTTGCTAATGTGTGTGAGTTTCAAATAAAATTAATGGGACAGTTACACATGCAAGTGTCCAATAAGCATACGAAGCAATGTTGTGTCATTTCCCTCTCTGCAAGTTCTCCAGTGTTAAAACTCCAGTTCCTCTACCTCCTCGTGTTTCACTTTCCTTTTCACAGAAATCCTAGTGACCGCAAAGGTGTAAGAGCACATTGGCTTCTGCCACAAGGGATAAGGAGTGATCACTAGGTGCAAAGGAGTTTGAAACACAGCCCAGTGGAGTAGGATGGGGTTGAATCCAGCAAGGCTACCGGGCACAAACATGTGTCCTCCGCACCGGAGCCAAAGGGTCAGGAACGTGGCTGCTCCAGCGACCCTAGCAGGACCTCTCCCACCTCTTACTCAGGAAAAGGACATACCTGCCCAGCAAGGGGCGAGCGCGCGGGATCGGCTCTGCAGGGAAAAGCCCTCTCCTCCCTCCACCGCTGTGCTCCAGAGGCCGTTACTCAACTGGTCCGGTCTTCGGGCGAACCCCCGTCCAGGCCAACCCAGCCCGGGGCCAAGAGGCCCGCTCCAGAAGAGGTTGCGGGCGCCGGCACGCGGGCGGGCTCCGCGGGAGCCCCGAAGCCCGGCGCCCCGACCCCGGCCGCGCCCCCCCTCCGCACAGCCCCAGGCCCCGCCTCCTGCCGTCCATCCCTCCATCCCTCTTCGACCCACCTCCACTCCACTGCGGCGCCAGCTCCACCTGCCCCATCCCGCGGCCGCCGCCGCGCCTTCCCGCGGGGCCGCCTCGCGCTGTGCCCCCAGACCCGGCCGCCGCAGTCTCGCGCTCGTCCCTGATGCGCCCCCAGTCCTCCCCTGCCCCCGCCCCGAACTGTACCTTGTAGGAGTCGGTGGCCAGAAGGATGTTGAACTCGGCTTCTGCCGCAGCATTCATCTCGGGCCGGAGTAGAGGGGGCGCGCGCCGCGAGCTCCCCGGCGCGGCTGCGAGGAAAGAGAAAAATGGGCTTCACCGCGCTCCGTTGCTTAAGTCACCGCTCGGTCTGAGGAGGAGGAGGGAAAGGGGGAGGACAGAGCGTGGGGAGGGGCCAGGGAAGGGCGGGACGGGAGTCGTGACGCGGCGGGGGCGGGGGCGACGACGGCCGGGGCTCACACGTTAGGGTCGGCGATGTCCAGCGGCCTCCTAACTCGGTTCCCCGCCCCGCCCAGCCCACCCCGGGGGACGGGGGGGGGGGGCCGCGGGGCGCTGCAGCGCGTGCGCAGGGCGCAGGAGGCGGGGCGGCGGGGAGGACGTGAGGCACGCGCTCTGCCTCGGAGACGCCCGACCCGGGAAGCTCGAGCGGCCTGCCGCCTGGGCGCGTGACCTGGGCCCTCGCCTCGGTTTCATTTCTCGGCCAGCGCGGAGGGGCGGGACCTGGGGGGCGTTCCCAGCCTCCCCCTCTTGCAGGGAGCCAATTCGCCCGCGCCAGTTGGGATTTTCCTGTCCCTCTACCCAGTCCAGGCGGGTTCTCCGAGTCCACCTGAAGCCCTGAGGGCCTCCCACTGCTCCCGCCTGGACTCCGCACGCGCTCAGTTACCTTTGTCTCCCTCTTGGATTAAGGATGAAGCTCTTGGCCCCATCCCTCCTTACCCTCCTAGCCCTCTGTTTAGAATCCGAGGAGCTGCGGTGACGAATGAGGTCTGAGGGTCCTTTAATTTGACGCGTGGACTCCGCTTTCGTCGACTCTGGTGACTGAGGTCTTAGATCCTTTGAAGGATGCCTTGACTTTCCTGGAGAAAATTGTCCATTTCGTAAGGCGGAGGTTGAATACAGCCTTCACAGCTTTTGATGGGACACGATCTAATTGAATCTAATGTTGCCGGGAAGTAAAAGGCAGCCAGCCACGGCTTTGATAGGGTGCGAAACTGACTTTTTATTATCCTTATACTTGTTAAATCCTGGAAAATGAGTTTGCGACCCCCAAATAAAGAAGTGAGATGACGTCTGATGACTTCACTGAAATACCATAAGACCACCCACTTACTTCTTATTCATAGTTGCATTTTGACAAAACATTAGTATTCCCTTTGCATGTTCATGTTCGTTTAAAAAAAAGTTTCTACGATTTAGGTTTACAAGCTATAAGTAGAGAAAAGCAATTTAATGAAAATCAATGGCAGAAGTCTCATCCCCCCCCCCCCCCCGGGGGGGGGGGGGAGGAACTTGTGAATTGGAAGCTATATCTCAGGGAAACTAGGAATATGGTTGATATTGCTTCAAATCAAAGCCTTTAGGTCCAGACTATGTCTTGAAGACAACACACATCCTTGCCTTTATCCATATAGTTAGGTAGAAAATAGGGCAAAGATCGTGGAATTGAGAGAGATCTTCAGGCGCTTACCACGGTGGTAAATACTGCAAATACATTTCGAATTATTTTCAGCAATAAGGTTTAAAACGAAGTTTCCTTTTTTTTCCTTGTTAATTTGTTTGACCCCATGTTTACTGGGGAAAGTTATTTAATTTTTTTGTTATTAATGCTTTATTGTTAAAACAAAATCTGAATTCTCTGCTGGGGAATTAATTTTTTTTAAAAAAATTGTAATTTAGGTAATTTTTTAGAAACTTGAATTGGGGAGATTTTGTTAGATTAGGCAGTGTATTTCAAAGAAAGAAAAAGATCCTTTAGCCCCTCTTAATTTGGTGTTTTTTTCTTCATTCACTTAAAATTTACATAACCTACTTTACTTACAGGACAAATTCTTATTTGTTGAGTTTTCTGGAATCCATGTATTTACAACTGACCATTGTTCTATGCTGTTTTATGCAGAAAAAAAAATAGGATTCTGATTACAAAGTGGGCTTTGTTTATGGTAGCACTTTAAAAAAAAAGGCAAATTTGATCTTGCAATCTTTGAGTTGAATTTACAGTTTTAAAATGAAAAAGCCAAATATCAGTACAAGTAAAAAACATGTTAACCTTGCATATGTACTGACATAGCTTGTTAAAAGCAGGAATAAGGCCTGCACAAGTAGTATTGAACTCAGTCCCCACAGCATTCTCTAGAAGAATAGATGGCAATCAGTTATTATGGTTTGGATCTTAAATATCTTCTGAAGATCCATATGCTAAAGACTTGGTCACCAGCCCTTGGCTTATCGGGAGGTGGAAGCTTTAAGAGGTAACTGAGAGAATGCCCTTAAAGGGCTTTTGGCCCCTCTGCCTCTCTTTCCACTGTTTTCTGGCCTCAGAAGTGAGCTGCTTCCTCTACCATGTGCTTCCACCATGGTATGCTATGGCCCCATTGGCCCAAAGCAACCATCTACTGAAATCTCTAAAACCATGAGCCAAAATCAACCTTTCCTCCTTCCAAATTGATTATCTCAGGTATTTTGTCACAGCAACAGAAAGCTGAGTAACACAAAAGTCATGTGACTCATAGAAGATCACGTTTGCTGAAGACAGAATTAGGCATATTCTTATGATTGTACATTCTACATGGTTGTTCCATAACAATTTTGAATTAATCAGGGTTTAGAAATAAAAAATTATCACCAAATACAAAGACAGAATTTCATTTTGAAATGACTTCTCTTGAAAGGCAACTTAAAAATTAGTTGTATTAGTTAGCTTTGCATTGCTGTAACCAAAACACCTTACCAGAACAACTTAAAGGAGGCAAAGCTTATTTTGGCTCATGGTTAGAGAGGTTTGATTCATGGTTGGCCACATCCATTGCTGTGGGCTCAAGGTGAGGCTGAACATCATGGCAGAAGAGTGTGGTAGAGGAGCACTGTTCCATTCATGACAGCCAGGAAGTACCAGAAGGTAGATCAGGGACCACAGGCAAGATAAACCCTTCCAGGACACATTCCAGTAACCCCCTTCCTCCAGCCATACCCTACCTGCCTACAGTTACCAACCAGTCCATTCAAACTAGGATGGGTTGTTGGGCTATAGCTCTCAAAATCCAATCATTTCACCTCCAAACATTCCTGTATTAACATATGTGCTTTTAGAAGAGACCTCATGTCCAAATCATAATGCTAGTATTTAGTATCTGAGATCTTTCAGTAGCATGTAAAATATCTGAGAATCTGTTTCTCTCTGGTCACTACAACATCACAAGTAATAACTAATATATAGACTCAAATGCCCTCCTCATGTAATTAAAAACTCTGGGTTAGTCTACTATTTTTACCAAACAGCCAATTAAGCACAGCAAATTGGTCCACCAATTCCTTGTTTCTAACCCTCAGAGTGCTGTGAAAGACCTGAAAGTCACATTTGATCAAAGTGGGTATTAACTGTACACTCCTGTTTTCTACACACACTATTAGACGGCCTCTGATGCACTTTGATATTTTAAAAGTTGTCTCAGATATTCCGATCTGATTGTACTTCAGGGAGAAAAAAACCCACGAAAACAGAAGACTCAAGAGAGGTAGGTATTGAACTCACCCACCTGCAACCCCTGACAGTGGTCCTATTTATCTCCCTTTTTACTCACCTCTAGAAATACCATTTAGCAACAGTTGTCACAAAGACAGATGTAAAAGATAAGCTTTTAAAAATTAAACTTAGTTCTTTTTTTTATTCAAATTTCCAAGGCCCTCTTGGGACCTCCCAGAGCTCTAATTTCCTAGGAAAAGGCCTTGTCTACAGAAAGACATAGGTTATCTTCATAGAACTAATTATTTTTCAGTGCAGCACTCTAAAATGACTCAGTCTGCTGAGACTTTTACAACCACAAAGAGATACAGAAAACTACTGAGTCTTAGTCTAAAAGTACAAAAGTCTAGAGTAACCATGATCCACAGACGATAAGAATTGGTGCAGATGTATAGATTTTTCACAAACATTCCATTGCAAAGTAGTTTTGTACCTTGGTGGTGTGTTTGATGTCTGACTGTCTATACTCTCCTCACCCACTATTTTCTGGGCAATGCTGAGATGATCAGCAATCTGATGTTAAACTCTTATGTAAGTCTTGTATCCTACCCGATTTCTTCCTATATTCTATGTATACGATATGACAAGTCTTATGTTACCATCTTTGTTAGTTTTTGCTTTCCAGTATATCTAAATCATTTTTTTTTCAATTCCAATAAAATAAAATGGAAAATAAGGGCAGAAAGCAAAAACAAAAGGTTTAAATTCATCTTTAAAAGTAAGCAATCGTGCATGTTATGATGTTACATTTAGGGATTTGATTGTCATCATCACTTATAACTTTTGTAGAAGGCCACTTGTTTGAGATTCGATAGACCAAATCAATGGCTGAGGGAATCAGATTGTTAGAACTATAAAAATATATCAATGTCTTTTAATTCAATGTTTTATCAAAACAAGGTATGCTAATCAGTTCTAGTACAAGAAAGAAGTATCCAGTGGCATCTAGATACACATTTTTAGTTTTAATGTTTACACATTTTTGCTGAGTGTCAGAAAAATGTAAATGTTAGGTCGGTGGTGGCAACTTGGTGGTGACTTGGTGGCTACTTAGAACAAAGCAGCCCACACGGGAAAAGAACATCAATCAGATGCCGGCGGACATGCCTGTCAATCAGCCAGATCTCCTGACTAACACCTGTCAATCAGCAGGACCCCCTGGCCAATACTGGAGTTCAGCCAACTCACCTGACCAACTCCAAGGGGGCAAGGGACCCTAGAAACACCTTTTCCTGTTCTGAGCCCTTCCCTTCCTGCTGTAAGCCCCATAAAAGTCCAGTCCGGTGGAGCTTCCATGCGATTTCTCCTCAGACCCTTCCCCTGTCACCTCTGTGGGTCTGATCGAGTTCCGCCCGCGAGTGATATCTCAATAAAGCCTCGTTCAGCGGCCCTTTTAAATCTGCCTCCTTTGGTGGCTGCCTGCCTCGCCTGATCTGACAGTAAATAACACATAAAACCTGATTTTTTGGGGGGGACAATTTTATTTAGCCTGAAACCAAAGTAGGTGGACACCTTGACTGGTGAACCTTACTATTTTCCTTGCCTTTCTCTAACCTATAAACTATTTTCAAATACTTCACATATGACTGGTTTTCCTAAAAAAGTTGAAC